GTATGTGATGGTGTGTGATGGTGTGTGGGGGGGTATGTGATGGTGTGCTGGGCGGTTGTGCAATGGGGTGGCTGGCAGAGCCCCGGACCACACTAGAGGGCGTGCAAGGACCATCATTCCTGCTCATCCCAGCCTCTCTCCCGCAGGTTCTGGAAGCAGGCATTCTGCAGAGGATATGCCCCGAGGAGCGCAAGAGGCAGGAGGTGAGAGGAGCCTGGGACGTGCCCGGCAGGGCAGCATAGACACCACAGGCTGTGGGACTGTGCCTGTGTCAGGGGTCAGCTCTGAGCAGGGCTGGGCTCAGCTCGAGTTCAGCTCAGTTCGTGGTGCTGCTGCTGCTTCCAACTGCTCTGGGATCAGGTAGTGCTGGAAGGGTTTGCTGGGGAAAGAGGGAGCTCCAGAGGATGCTGATGGGAAATAGCCACTGGAAGGGAAAACAGCCACTGGAAGGGAAAACATCTTAAGTCATTGTTAATTTTTTCATTAATTTTTATTATTAATTGTTAATTTTGTCAGTGTAATAAGCTGTGGCTTATCAATGACTTGAGTATCATCCTAAAACACACTGAGGTTATTGGTGTTGGCCAGGCCATGCATGAGGTGACACAAGGAACACACCGAACTGTTGGAGCCAAGTCATTTCCAGTGGCTTTGTGCCAACTGAACGTAAATGAGATTTAGCAGGTTTTAATTCCCGGCTTTGCTCAGTCAGTTTGTGCCGTTGCATCTTCCCTGCCCTGCCCTGTCCAGGCAATGTTTGAGATCATCACTTCTGAGTACTCCTACATGCACAGCCTGAGTGTCCTGGTGGGCCACTTCATGCGCTCGGAGGAGCTGAAGGAGACGATGACGCAGACGGAGCATCACCACCTCTTCTCCAACATCGGGGACATCCTGACGGTCAGCACGAGGCAAGTGGGGGCACGGCAGGGGCCGGGACCAGGCAGGCCTGGGGGGATCTCTGAGCTCCCTTTATTTGTCATGTAAAAACAACCATCCCCTGTGCTGTTGAAGGTGCTCCCTGGGAGCTGGGGAGCAAACACTTTGGGAGTGAGGGCTGGGAGAGCTGTGTCCGTGTGGCAGAGCAGCAGGAGGAGGATGCAGCAGCCCTGGGAATGGCTGCGGGGGCGTTGAGGCCTTGCAGCTTCCCAGTGGGGCAGAAACCAATCCTCATGGAGAGCTGAAATGGAGGAGGGACCCTGTGCAGGAACAGAGGAAGCGCCTGTGGCTGGGGAAGGTGTGGGTGTCTCAGCTGCTGGAGCTGACCTGCCAGAAGGGATCAGGGCCCCATCTCCCACTGGGAAAACTGGGCAAAAGCTGCAGGGGGAACACCCAGTTTGTCTGGCCCTAAGGAGTCATGTAGTGAGGTTGTTTAATTTCTCTCCTCAGCTTCTTTGAAGACTTAGAGAAGCGGCACCAGGAAAACCTCCTGATCCCTGACATCAGTGACATAGTGGAAGAACACGCCTCGAACCACTTCAACCCCTACATCAGTTACTGCTCCAATGAAGTCTATCAGCAGAGGACACTGGATAAGCTGCTGTGAGTACAGGGCTTGGGCTGGCCAAGGGATTGCCTCCCAGGGGCTCTGGGCTTCAGGGACTGCAAAGGTCGATAACTCATGAGGTGCATTAGGGACACGTGTGGAGACTGTTCAGATCCTGCTGGTGCTACAGGTCAAGTCTGAGTCCACAGTTGGTACATCTGTGGCTTTACCAGCTTTCAGTGGACTCACCATTTATCTTTGGGGGCTCTTCCACCACCCACTGAGGAATTGGTCCCTCTTCCACCCAGCTGGGTGCTCTGAGCCCAGCAGAGTGACAGCAAGCACCGGAGGCAGTGCCGTGGCCACTCTGCATGGAGAGCTGCTGGAAAATCTTGATTATGGAAGAAGAGAGTTAATGGAGCTTTCTTGTCCTGTTCCAGAACCACAAACCCCTTATTTAAAGAGACCCTGAAACAAATTGAAAGGAAACCAGAGTGTGGAGGCCTGCCAATGATCTCATTTCTCATTCTCCCTATGCAGAGGGTAACACGGCTTCCTCTGCTCTTAGATGTAAGTAGTCACATGGTGGCATTGCTTTTTTCCTCTGAAGAGGTCACTGTTACTCCCTTCTTTGGTTTGTGGAGCCCGGGACGGCCTCTGCTTGGACTTCCATCCCTTTGGGAGCTGAGGCCAGGATGCTGAGCCTGTATTCAGATTTAGATCCAGAGTGATCTCTTTCTCAGGGGTCTCAGATGTGCAGCCTAAAGCTCTGAGAATAACAGTTCATGTCTTGGTGCCACCCACCTGAGTAACCTGCAGTTCTTTGTGCCATATCTGGGTTCCAGGGCAGGGTGGCACAAGTGTCCTGTTTGTTGAGTGGTCGGGCAGCCCCAGAAGGGAAAGCAGGTCTTGCATTCTTCATGGAAATCTGCTTTAAATGGCAAAGCTGTTGGAATAGGATATCCAGTAACTGCTCCCAGCCTGTGGTGGCTGCAGGGGTGAGGGCCAGGGGGCTGCTGGGGTGCCAGTCAGGCACTTACCAGGCATGAAAGCCCCAGCAGGAACCAGGGTCACAGCTCCCAGCACTGTTAAACCTCGCTCTGGCCACGTGCCTGTCCTGCTGCCAGGCCGACCTTCAGGAACGGCTCGAGCCCGTGTCAGACCCTGAAATCCCAGGGAAGTGGCTGGTGTGCCATTCCCTGTGGGGCAATGTCACTAAAGCGCCTTGTCTTGGAATTCCAGACGGTCCGTCAGCAAACAAACGCACACACTGCAGCGTACGGAGCTGCCACCCGGGCTCTGAAGGCCATCAGCAAGGTGAGGCTGCCACATCTCCACCTCTCCTCCTGCCAGCACAGCCTTCCAGCGTGCTGCTCCAACCCTGACATTCCAGCCTCTCGATCTCCTCCCAGCATCGGTTCACTTGAGTCTCCTCTGCTCCAAACAGCTGCTGGATGGACACCTCTTCTCCCTTCTCACCTTTTTCACCTGATATTGCTTTTTCCTCTTCCTTGTCCTCTTTTCTTCTTTTCTCTTTGGCCCACCTTTGTCCTTCTCTTTGGTGTCATCATCTCCGTGAATCTCCTCCTCTTGGAAGATGCCTCGAGGTGCCAGCAGACCGACCCCTGCTCACCGAGGGCAGTGAGTGAAGCAGAGCCAAGTGTGGAGCGCAGGAGCAGTGGCAGTTGTGAGCCATGAGCTCTCTGTGCTCCTGGATCTCGTCTTCCTCTGCTTTCCCATCCGATGGTCAGGCACAGAGGGCAATGGGCCACAGAGATTGTGGCCACCAGTGTGCCACTTCTGTCCCCTAGAAGCCCAGCCCTTGGCAGTGTGCTCCTGCTGCTCCTGGTCTGTCTCACTCACACATCCGAGCGATGTCCTCCCCTCTGTCTGGTCCCTCCTCCTGCCTTTACCTCCTCTCCTCAGATGATTGATTCTTGCTCTTCATGTTACTCCTTGGTGAAGCTTTATTTTGGTGCAGGTTCACTTTAGTCCTTCTCCAGGCAGAGTACATGTGGCATCTCTCTCTCCTGGAGAGCATCCCACTGCCTTTTCCCAAACCTGGCTTGAAGCCTGTGCCAGGATTTGGCTGTCTCTCCTGCTCAGGGAAGGGGGGCAGGCCATGACCCTTGACCAGCAGCACTGGGACTGATGCAGCAGATGGATGGGCTCAGCATCCAACCTTTCTCCACTTCCCTTGTGATGTTTTTCTCTTCCCAGCTGGTCAAGAGCTGTAACGAGGGAGCTCGGGCTATGGAGAGGACGGAGCAGATGTACACGCTGCAGAAACAGCTGGAATTTGGGAAGAAGAAGGTGAGCTCTTATGGAAGTGGTGGCAGGAAGTCCTTTGGGGTGTGCTGTTCAGGCGGGTCAGGCCTGTCCTGGGAATCCTTCTGGAAGCCTTGACTGGACTGTTGGATGCAGGCAGCTCTCTGAAGGGCTGTAGAAAAGCCACGACATTGTCACCTGCTGCTGCAGTTCAGGGGCTGTGCTGGAGCAGGCTGCATGGCTGCTCTGCTTCCCGGGTGGCTCCTGGGAATTTCTTTGGAAAAGATGCTTAAAAACATGTGGTGTGACCCCAGGGCCACTGCAGGTTCAGTTCTTGGCTTGATTTTGCCAGCTGCTGGTGACAAGGGCAGTAAGTCAGCCTTCTCCTGGCCCTGTTTCAGCCCTTCCCGCTGATCTCCGTGTCCCGCTGGCTGCGGAAGCGGGGGGAGCTGCACCTGCTGCTCTCGGAGGAGGCGGGAATCTTCCGCCGCGGCGCCGGCCGGCTCTGCTACCTCTTCCTGTTCAACGACGTCCTGATCATCACCAAGAAGAAGAGGTAAGGCCGACAGGAGGGCCCTTCCTTTCCCTGGAAAACGACTAGGGGATTAAATCTCCGTTTCCGGAGCAGCACACACCTGAGAGATGCGCGAGATTTCCCAGGTTTGACCTTTTTGAGGCGTCCCTTGTCAGCCAGACGGGAAGTGCCCCGTCCTGCTGCCCTTGGCTTTGCCTCTGTGCAAGTGCCCAGAGCCGTGTCCCACCCTGGGCATCAGCTCATGTCCCGGCTGTGGTGGCTGCTCCAGCAGTGCCGCTGAGCCTCATCTGCCAGGCTGGGAGCCGGGAGGGAGCTCGGACCCCGCTTGGCTCCGGCACTGATCCCATCTGTGCCACAGCGAGGAGAACTACACGGTGATGAACTACGCCACGCTGGACCAGGTCACCGTGGAGAAGGTCGAGAGCGCGGATCCACCGTCCCCTGCTCCTGGGAAGGCCAATGGGCACCTGCTCCGGGTGGTGCTGGAGAAGGACAGCGAGGGCCGGCGGGAGGAGATCTTGCTGTCGGCAGAGAAACTGTGAGTGGAAAACCTTGATCCTGCTGGGAATGTCCCAGCTGCTGCTGGCAGCAGGGCTGCTGTCCCTAAGGCTTTCTCTGATATGGGCTTTCCCTCTGGTAGGAGTGACCGGGCCCGGTGGATTGCGGCGCTCATGCACCAAGAGAAGGAGAAGCCTGACACCACTCCCAAAGGAGGTACCACCTGACCTGGCTCTGCCAGGATTACCTGTTACACTGGAGCCTTGCAGGCACAGGTTTCTGCCTCATTCTCCACTCCTGCTGGAAAAGGAGCTGAGGACATGTGCTGATGGAGAGGAGAACTCCGGTACCATGCTTTGTTCCTCAGGAGTTGCCTCACATTAAGCTGTCAGCCACAATTAACCTTAAATACATTTCCTGGGAGGCACAGTGGAATTCCAGGAATGCCTTCAGCTGTTGTAAGAGGAGATCTGACAAGCTGGGAGGGACAAGGGGCAGGGACAGGAAGGGAGTGTGCTGTGCTGGGGTGGGCAGCCAGGGGGTCACAGCCGAGCAGGGGGCTGGCCACACGTGCCAGGCTGTGGCTGCTGGCCATGCCTTCTCATTGGTCCCTGCTGTCCCCTGTCCTCCACAGAGCTGAGCCAGGTGGAGATCACCCGTGCCTACCTGGCCAAGGAGGCAGACGAGCTCTCCCTGCAGCAGGCAGACGTGGTCCTGGTGCTGGGGGGAGAGGACGGTGAGTGTTGGGAGCGTGGAGCTGCAGCCAGGACAGGCTGACCTTGGCAGAGCTGGGCGGGGGGAACCTCCAGTGATCCCCATGAACTGGGACTGCAACAATTGCAGAAGTTTTCAGGAAGTTGGTGCTGTGTCCCAGCAGGTGACAGTGGGCTCCAGGGGCTGACAGAGCTGCCATGGGCAGCTGCTGCATTCGTTAAGGGTGACTCCTGTGTGGAGGCTGTGGCTGGAAGAGACCTCAGAAGTCAGAGAAACATACCCAGAACAGGCACTGAATCAGAAACCTCCTCCCCAGCCAAGCTTTCCCCGGATGCTTGTAGCTGGCAGCTCTGTGGGAAGGGGGTGGTGCGGCCCCATTCCATGTGCTGTGGTTCTTCCTCATCGCTGTCACCTGCTCTGTTCTCCTCCCAGGCTGGTGCTGGGGCGAGCGGCTCCGGGACGGGGAGCGGGGCTGGTTCCCCCAGAGCTGTGCCCGGCGGATCACGAGCCGCTCGGCCGTGGAGGGCAACGTGCGCCGGATGGAGCGGCTGCGCATCGAGACCGACGTGTAGGCCGAGAGCTGGAGAGACCCTCTGGGGGCTGCTCAGGGACCTCCAAACCTCTGCACACTGAGCCCATGGCGAGAAGGGAGCAGAGAACCTTTTGCCTGGAACTGTGTGTGTCTCGGGGGCAGATCTGATCACCCAGGACTGGTCTCTGTCCCGGCTGTGACAGCGGCTCCTTCACAGGGGACCCGGCACCCGAGCGCTCCCGGCACCGCTGGCACTGGTGACCTGGAACAGGCTCCAGGAGCAGCCGAGGAGTTGGCTCAGGCTGAAAAGGCTGTGGCTGTTCTGGGCTGTGTGAGGTGCCTGCGCTGCCATCCCCATCCCCACTGTCACCTGGGCCGGTGCCCGCTGGCAGCAGCTGCACAGCCGGCGTGGGGAGAGCTGGGTCAAGGGAGAGCACACCCTAACCAGGAACTTTTACAACTTAAGTCTGTGCCCAGCTTATTCCTTGACCCAGTTTTCCCTCCTGCTGCTATTTTATTTTTTTCCTTCCCCCCCTATAATTCTTGGTCCCTTTGGCACAGCCGTGACCTCCACAGGTGAGGTGATGCTAAACTGCTGGATGCCAGAGTTGTTCCCATGGAGTCAGCTCTGGGGCCAGGAATGGGATGCTCCAGCCAGAGGGGGAAGCAGGGGCCTGACAAGGAGCAGTGCTGCAGCTCCCACCTGCCTTTCCCTCCTCCCAAGGCGGGGAGGGGGCTCTGGCAGGGGCTCGGCCGGGCTCAGCCCCTCTCACCCCGTGCAGGGGACATGGCAGCTACAATTTTGGGGTGAGACGGCCCCACACACTGCCAGCTTTGGGCAGCATTGATGTAATGTCTATTCTGATCAAACTGTTAAAGGATTAATTGGGGTAACAGTAAATTCCTGGATCCCACTGAACGGTGTGTTCCCTGTTAGTGCAGACTGGTGACCCTGAGCACAGCTCTGTGTCACTTCCAAGGAGCCAGATATGAGCCCTAAAAAGAAGCTTCATTCTGCTGGTGGCATCACTGTGGCCTCTGCATGTTCTCCAATATATATGTGCATCTCAGGAAACACCCTCCAGAGCCCCTGACTAAGTCTGCTGTCACCTGGAGCAGGTTTCAGGTGTATTTATTTGACTGAGACAAATAGAAACTCAGCCAGACTTTCTGTTTATTTCCCCTAACTGTGGAGAAATAAGCATTTTTCATCAGTGCTAAATTAAAGGAGATATGATCAAAAGAGAGACAGAGCATGAAAAGAGGAAACAAACAATTTGTATTAAGAAATATGAACAAGAAAAAAACACATTATATAAAAATACAGGTACAGGGTTGCTGTGGTCTCATGCTCAGACACATGGTTTGCTCTCAGCTTCCAGGAGTCATGGAGCTGCAGCTCAGCTTCAGGCTGGAGCAGGATGGGATGGATCCATCCCCACACTTAAGGCTGTTTCCATGTTCTCCTGGAGCAAGGCCATCGAGGCAGAGTGTTTTTTCTCCTCCTCCTGGTTCCCAACCAGCCAAGGCCATCACTAGAACCTTCCTCCAACGCCCTGGGCACTTCAAGGCAAAGGGAACCCAAGGGGTGATTGTCTGGAGAATTGGCAGCACGACTGGCAGGACTGATCAGGGGCTTTTGGCACATGGACAAAATATTCCTACTCTGTGGTTATCCATCATCCAACATCCAACCTTAACAACACGATTTTGGTCCTTCACTACATACTTATATTAACATTGTTTCTTCACAAGAATGATCCCTAATGCAAAAAATACTGTTAAGGAAGAAATAAAATAAGAAAGGAATTAGCCCAAAATTACAAGTTATATACAGATTAAAATAAATTCCATCAGGAAAAGAAACAATTTTATTATTTTCAGTTGGCCCCTGTGGGAATAATTTAAAGGCCAAGTGCCTGGGCAGGGCTGTGCTGCAGCTGCCACAGTGGGGATGGGGTGGGATGGGATGGGATGGGATGGGATGGGGTGGGATGGGATGGGATGGGATGGGATGAGATGGGATGGGGTGGGGTGGGGTGGGGTGGGATGGGATGGGATGGGATGGGGTGGGATGGGATGGGATGGGACAGGGCTGTCCCTCCCCTCTGCAGAGCCAGGGTTCCTCTGACAGTGTTGGCTCTCAGGCTTCCCCTGCCCAAGACCTTTGTGCAAACAGACAGAGGGGCTCAGGGGCTGGGGGAGCCCTGGCCAGGGTGATGGTGTTGGAGCAGTGGCACTGGAGTGGTGGCATTGGAGTGGTGGCATTCCCTGCTGCTGCAGGTGGCAGCTGACACCTTGCCATAACTCCGTATCCATCACCAAGCCAGGAGCCAGCTGCTTTTCCTGCCTCTACCCCTTCCCAGCCCCTGGCTATGACTAGAATGTAACTCAGGGTCCAAGGCTGGGGGAGGACACTCCCATAGGGAGGTGCATTGACCAGGTGGTGCAAGTGCTTTGTCTCCACACAGTATCTTTGATTACCACACTTAAGCTTCCTTTTTGGTGGAGTAGGTGACACGGGCAGCTCCATGGGCTGATAAACTCCTGGCATGATGAACAGGCTCCAGCACAGCCTGCACTGTGGGCAAGGAGCCCAATGTGTTCCCCCACAGCAAATAGTTCTTTACAGTAAAACACCACTGCAAATTCAAATTTAAAAAAATAATTCAAGTGAGGCAGTACACCCACAGGAGGCCCAAGCCCAGGCGAGCTGGGCATGGTCAGCCATCAGTCCTGACAACGCTGTGGTCCAGCTTCCCATAAATATTGGTGCATAAATACCTGATTTGGCCCACAATTTCAGCCCCCTCCCCAAGCCCAGCACCCAGAAGATGAAGGCCAGCAATGTGTCACGAGCTGCCAAAGTCCACTGTCCCCCGACCAGAACTGATTCCTTCTGAACTGGTCCCTCTGGTCTCTGGCTGAAGGCCTGCACTGGTGTTGGCACCCGTGTCCTCACGGCCAGCCCGTGCTGGCGCAGTGAACTGGTTATACTGGGCGCTTCAGCCTCCCTCAGACAACCCCAAAGGCAGCAGCTGGGGCTATGAGGAGATGAAAGCTGCTCATGCAGCTCATAAATGAGTTCCTTAACAGGTCATTGGCTTCTTCAGGTGGCTGCTTGGTCCCACTGGGGGAGCAATCCCGGGAGCAGGATCTAGTGCTTGGCCAGCCAGAGCCCCTCCAGGGGTGGTGGTGACCTGGTGGGTGCCAGGGACTGTGTGGCTGGAAGGGAAATGGGACAGGTCAGTCCTCGCTGCCCCTCCAAGCACGGGCACCGCATCCCACAGGTTCTGCACTGGGATTCCCCCCAGGCACAGCCAGTGGCTCTCCTGGCACCTGCATTTACCTTCCCGGCACGTGGGTCCCGTGTGGCCGTCCAGGCAGAGGCACTGCCCGTTCCGAGCGTTGCAGTAGGAGCTGCTGGGGGCACACTGGCAGGTCAGGTGGCAGTCAGGGCCGAACTGGGTGGGCCGGCAGTCTGCAGAGGGCACAGAGGTGCTCAGGCCTGAGCCTGTGGCAGCAGCCAAGCAGGGATGCTCAGACCTTTCCCGGGATGCAGCAGGCAGAGCTTGCAGGGGAGGCTGGGAGCAGAACAGGGCTGAGAGCTCTTTGCCCTTCCCCCTGCCAGCCTGCACGTCAGCTGTGGTGACACGGGACATCAGGGTATCTCCAGGAAAACAAGGTGTTCCTTCTGTGTTTCATCCTCAGCCTTTGGATCTAATAACAAGGGCTCTGGAGGCTGAAGGAGTGTTTGTGCTCAGGTCTGGCTACAAACAGAGGCTGGAGAGGTAAGCACTGCTGTTCAGGTGCCCTCTTGCTCCATGAGGTGACACACCCCAGAATGAAAACCCCTTCCATGAGGACTCAGCTCTAACAAAAGGGGATTTGCATTCATCTTAAGACAGAGTTTCGAGCTCACTATCCCCCCCATCTCACAGGGTGCCCTCCCTCCCCTGCCCCTCTCTGGCTCAGCTCACCTGCAGCACACGTGGGGCCGGTTTTCCCGGGTGGGCACAGGCACTGCCCCGTGGCCGGGTCACAGGGCACATCCCCAGCACAGTCACAGAGCCGCTGGCACCCCTCGCCGTATGTTCCTTCCCTGCAGCCTGTTGGAGAGGAGGGATAGAGCAGCTGCCCTCGGGCTCGCCCCTCGGGGTGCCCTGGGGAGCAGGAGGTGGGTGGGTGGTACCTGCGTGGCAGCGCTCCCCGTGGAGCCCAGCGGGGCACTGGCAGCGGCCACTGGCCGGGTCACAGCCGGCCCCGTGCTCACAGTCACAGCGCTGCCGGCAGCCCACTCCATGGAAACCCGCGGGACAACCTGGGATGGAGACAGCTCACTGGAGCGCGGGTGGGTGGAACGGAGCCGAGCTGCAGCAGAGCCCCGGGCAGCCCAGCAGAGAGAAGCAGTGAGCTTTTCTCCCCGAGAGGCGCCCGAGGTCACAGAGCACCATACTCAGCTCTGTGGTGTTTGCTCAGTGCCCAGTGCCCCTGGGCAGTGGGGACATGTGTGCCCAGCTGCCTTGGGATGGCACCGCTGTGCCTGCGGGGTCGTGCAGAGGTCAGAAGCGGGGTTTGCTGAGAACTCCAGTGGAAAAGGAAGAGCCCACTGGTGTCTCAGACCCGTGTCCCACGGTCCTGCTCTCCGGATGAGCTTTATGGAACCACCCCCTGCCCAAAGCCGAAGGTGTCCCCACTGTCCCACTCACTGTGCTCGCACAGGGGCCCGTAGTGCCCCGCGGGGCAGTGGCAGGTCCCCGTCCCCGGGTCGCAGGTGCCGTTGTGCAGGCAGGGGCACTGGAGCTGGCAGTCGGCACCGAACCTTCCCGGCGGGCATTCTGCAGGGGAGAGGGAGCGGCAGAGCTGCTCAGCAGCCCCACTTCTGCACTTCAGAGAGTCATGATAAGGCACTACAGGCACAGGTGGGAAAACAGAAACTGGACCCACTATGGAACAGACAGAGCAAGCTCTGCAGTTCCTGGTTGGTGCAGGATGATGCATCCAGGTCAGATTTACCTAATTCGCAGGATTTCCCTGTCCATCCAGGTGCACACGAACAGGAGCCATCGGCTGCATCACAGAGGCCCCCGTTGTGGCAGGAGCAGGTCTGCTGGCAGCCCACCCCATACCGGTGCTTCTCACAGCCTGCGGGACAAGAGGTAGTGGCAGTGGGCACAGGGACCACGAGCATCTCAGGGCAAGGCAATCAGTTCCCACTCAGGACCTTTCCCAACCCGCTGCCTGCAGTGCCTGCTCGTCCTGAGGCACGAGCCCGTGGCTGGGGGTTACCTTGCTCACAGGTGGGCCCAGCTCTGCCGGGTGGGCAAACACAGTCCCCGGTGACAGGGTGACAGGGAGCGCCGGCCCCGCAGGAGCACAGCCCCGCACAGTCCTGGCCATAGCGGCCAGCGGGACATCCTGCAGGAGGAAAACCTTGGTCAGGCCAAAGCAGGGCTGGCAGGTGGGAAGCGGGAGAGCTCCCAGCGCTCCCCTCCCCCTGAGGAGGCTCCCACACCTCCCATCCCTCCAGCACTCACCGATGCCGCAGTCAGCACCGATGTAGCCGGGCGGGCAGTGGCACATCCCCGTGGCAGGGTCACACCCGGCCCCGTTCTTGCACTGGCACGGCCTCTCACAGTCACGGCCGTACCACCCAGGGGAGCACTCTGGGGGGAGAAGAAACAGCGGCCTCTGCGTCTAAAAGTACAGCTCAAGGTCCAGACATCCCGGGAAAACCCACCAGGTGTGTTGGTACGGCTGCTTCCCCAGAGAGGAGGCAGAGAGCTCTGCCGGGAGCAGGTCTGTGCCAGGCTGGCACTGCCCTTGGAGCTCTGATCCTCTCTGTCACACAGAGCAGCTCCAAAGCACCGAAGGCTCAACAAGCTGCAGGAGCTCACACACACACACACACATACATCA